CCAGGCGCGTGTGTATGCGTGCCCAAGATCCCAAGAGGAGAATGGAGGAGAAGGGATTGCGGCGTGGCCATACTCCCTGGGGGGGTGATTTCTCGCTTTCTGTCTCTCTGTCTGTCTGGCGAGTGCACACGCCCAAACAAAAAAAAACCCAAAAAACCAAAAAACAAAAAGTAGCCAAAAAAAAAGCCTTCAAATTTATAAAATCACAATAAATATAAGTGAGTTAAATTCATTGATACATGAAAAAGAAATTTAGCTATAGGTTATTAATAGGTGACTTTGTGGGTCTTATAGCTATATACATAAAATTTTGCATACCACAAAGAATATGAAATCATGAAATATTTGTAAAATATCCTGGTATACTGGTGCTATGTATAAACTTGACCCCGATAAAATTGAAACTCAGTTTTTTTTCTTATTACTTAAAGTTTTATATTAAAAAATAATGAGATTTCCAATTCTTCCCCTGAGACAGTAAGGATACCACTACTGAAATATATAATGCTAGCTGTTATGCCTACACTGAAGAAAATTTAATAATATATTCTTAAATGTAGCATTCCTAGATTCCAGAAACAACAAATTGGAGAATCTAGCAGAAAATAAAACCCTGTTCTCAAAAGCAATCAAATCTAGAAAATAGCATGTAAAACAAAACATGGGGGAAAAATAGTGAAGAAAACCACAAAAAATTACTCCAGAGATAGGTACTTATAACATGTTCTCAATAGAAGAATTAAAAACAACAGTTCCATCTGGTAATATGGTGGTTAAGGAGGCGGAATTCCACATGGCCAGGTGCACAGTTCAAGTCCTGAACCCAGCAGCCTATAGGACAAACCAGGAGCATGGGCATACTTGTGCAAAATTCCAAAAGTAGGAAGAAATAGAGGAGAAGGGGTTGAGTCATGACTGGCTCTAATCAGGATCTTTACTTTACTTCCTTCTCTGTCTCTCTGTCTCTTTCCAGCAAAAGACTAAAAATCTGTTTAAGTTCATGATTCTAAACTTGACTGAGATTTAGTAGAAAGGCATTTCTTTGAATTTCAGATTAAGGAAGATACTATTGTTAGTAGTATTGCCCATGGAGTCTATATTTTGGGATGGTCTATCTTCCAGATTGTTTTATAGACATAGACGAGAATTAAGTGTGTAATGAATATGACACAAACATATTTCAAGGAGGAGATGATGTTTAATTCAAAAGCAAAAAAACCTAGACATATCCATACATTTTTATGCAGCTATTGCAAACAACTGTGTGATTTCTTATTATTTTAAAACACTGAAAATAGTACGAAGGCTAAAATCATTTTCATGAATCCATGAACCAACAGAGATAGTGTGCTCAAAGAGTTTAACCGCCATCTCATCATAGAGTACCTACAGTATGGAGACAATCATTTAAGGAGTCAAAAATGCATCCCACGGTAACAATACAAAAAAAAGTTATATAGTTTTTATATATTTGTGTATGTATGTGTATATATATGTATGAATATTTATATATACCTATATGTGTTCATATTTGGCACAATACAACTGTCAAATACATTTGAAAATGTATATTGTTAAAAAGTTTTTCCTCTCTTGTAGCTATCATGATGACTCTACCAAAAACTTTAAATACGAGTACATTTCAAACATTTTTACACATAAAATAACAAAAACAAATTAAGGAGCTTTTAGTTGTGTAACGTTGGGCAAGTTACCTAAACTTGGTTTCTCCATTTGAAGCAAAGACGATAGTGCCTAATTCACAGGATTTGGAGGAAGATGAAGATAATAAACATAAAGTGTTAAGAACAGTGCCTGCCACATAAATGGTCCTTGACAAATTTTGGCTAATATTGTTGCTATTCTTACTACTGTTCTATTGGGTATCCTTGATATGTTCATACTACTAAATTTTGAATATAAGCAGATCTCTTTTTAAATGACCTTAAGTATACCATAATTTAGGTAAATAATCTCAAAGTTATGCATGTCTAAGTAAGCCAACCTCATATTTTAGAATGCAATAAGCGGGTATAACAACAAAAATAATGTATAAGGAGTAATTAATGTTCTGATTACAAAGAAGGATTTTAGTAGCTTAGGGCATTATAAGAAACATTGACGACATTTAAGACTTGAGTTTAAAATCTCCAGAAAGATAGAAAGATAGAAAGAATACAGTCTCTACAGTTTTGTCTTCAAATACACCTGCTACTAGCAAATTTACTTTCCAGGACCTGAAAACCAGAGACTAATAAATGTCTTTTGCAGGCCTTCTCACTTGGCAGAACACATTTTCCCCATTTGAATCATAATATCTTTGGAGAATTAGAGGGCCAAATAAATAACTTTGGTCAGGAAGAATATAAAATTTTTGTAATAACAAATTACAAAGGAAACTAAAATTAAGCACTAAACTGTTAAACTCATTGTTGCATTTGGATAAGCATGTGTGTGGAGTTGGCAGTAAAACTGAACACTATTAGAAGATAAGGTGAATCTGGTGGATTCATGATTACTTGGGAGCAAAGATATTTCTAGGGGCATTCCTCTTTTTTAAACCACTTATTTCTTTTGCCCTCTTGGGGCCTTTTTCAGCCAAAGCCCCTTTTGAGAATTTAATTCACTTCCCTTTTAGAGTTTCCACTTCCACCAGCTGCTTCTCTCATCACCTTACTGTTCAGGCGGAAAAGGCCAAGCTCAGGTTATTCTAATGATAGCAAACACCTCATAAAGCAATCTGCCAAATTTACTTTTCCACAGAACATCATTTTTATGACTTTTCATGAGCCCATGAGGAAAGAAGGCATCATGTTCAAAATATAATTTTCAGAAATATTGAAGATATGAAGAATTCTTCCTATGGTGCCAGACTAATAGCATGTCCCACAGTCCATGGGATTATGAAGCTTCAATATTCCCACAGGAATTCCATCAGCCTTGTCACTGTTAGGACAACTTTAGAAATGTCCCACATTTTAAAAGAACTTTAAGCTTTTTAAAGTGCATAACCTTTTCCATTCCTGGTTTTGTATTTGTGTACAAGGATCACCTTGCATTCATGTGTAACACCCTGGCAGAGATAAAACACGGTGTAATTAATAAGAACCTGGAGTGTGTGAACTTTGTGCATTTCTTAACTCTCTTACCTCAGTTTCTGCATGTGCAAAAGGCGAGTCTTAACCAGCACCATATCTCAGAGGACAATGATTAAATCAAATGAGTTAACTTCTGGTAAACACTTAAAACGGTAGGACACAGTAAGTACTATGGAAGTGTTCAAGTGAATTCTTTCTGTAACAATGAAGTGTCCCCCAACAGACTATATACATAATGAAGTGGCAGAAGCAATGATTATAAAGCTCTTTGGGATCAATTCACAATGCTTATCTCTCCGTTATAGTTTTAGAGGGGCTGGATTAAGGAGATTTTAGGAGCCAGAGAATTCCACTGCTTCCTGCCCGCTTCTTCCTGTACACCTAAGTTTACAGTTGTCATATTCCTAGAAGCAAGGAAAAGCGCTTTCCAAGGTAGCTGCAGGAAACCCCTGTCTGGGAAACTTTTATTCACAAACCAATACTCACGTTGTGTTGCGTCTGATCGCTCAGTTTGCCATCCCTAGTCCAGAAGCCCATTCCGAGAGCAGCCCTGGAAGGGGCAGATTCTGGAAACAATACTTTGCTACAAGTTTAAAAGTCCCAGAGCAAACCGTGACAGGTGTCTTGGTCCGCGCCTCCTCCGTGGAGAGGGGAGGGCACTTGGGGACCTCTAGCGAGACAGGGGAGGAGGCAGGAGGCTTGAGAACCGCAAGGGCGAGGTGGGGGGGGTCTGGCTATTCTCCTCGAGAAATTATGTCCTGGTTATCTGGCATTGCTTTCTAAAGGGGTAGACTGGTCGAGTTTTTTTTCTGCCAAACATAGCTTGGGGATATTATCCAAAAGGTCTCCTTGCGTGTCCCTCTACCCCACCCCGGCCCCGCCTCGAGTATCACTGGCTACACCTGCAAGCAAACGCATACTCCTCTTATCCCGAGCCGCGCACTCCAGTTCCAGACCTGGGACAGATCAGGAGAAGCGCATCCTGCAGACCTCAGAGACAGCCTCCTCCGGGCATATACCTCTGCTCTGCTCCTGCCTGAACCGAGTAGATCCAGCAAAACTGCTGCCCTTAGGTGGGGCGGAGGCCCCGCCTCCTCACATCTGTCAGGTTCTAGCTCCGCACCCCGCCACCACCCTGGTCCCGTCGCGGTGCACGTCCCTCTCCGGCGGTGCACTCACCTGCAGCTGGGCCCGGCTGGAGTTGCCGGCAGCCGCGTCGGGCCCGTTGGCAGCTCCCGAACCGCGCAGCACCGTGATGTGCAGCGTGAGCAGCAGCAGCCCCAGCAGCAGTAGCAGCTCTGCCGCCCGGCGCACCATCCTCTTGAGGCGCGCGGCCTTAGGAACCGGGGCGG